TCATCCCACCAAAAACTTATGCCAACCCTTTCCCCTACTTTTAGTTTCAACCCATTAGCTAACCATCCCCTATTTCCATCTTCAATCTCACTCAACCTGTAAATATCCTTCCACCAAAGTGAACCATACTGGATACCCTCCCTCAACCAATTGAAGCTTAGTTCCCCTCCCCTTACATACTTATCAAAATGACTATTTTCCATAGCCTTTTTTCCTCGACACTAGTCTCCCCCACCACTTGCCTAGTAAAGCCATATTGAACTTCCTCAAGTCTTTCACCCCCAAACCACCTTTCTCTTTTTCTTTGTTAAATGAGCTATTGTAGTTTAATTACTCTACTTAAGAGCTTATTATTTCATAATAATTGTCTAATTTATTCCTATAATTAACCTATAAATAAAAGTTATAAGACCAAGAGTTCTATAAATATGATCTATTATTTTTCTCAAAACAGAGTGTTCCTCTACATTCTTCTACCCTCTTACCTTATTTTATTTTTCTAAATATCCTTAGGTAAAGAATGGTGTCTTGAGTTAAGTAACTACATGGGTAGTAAAAATTTAAAAAGTGTTAATATAAAATTGTGGCATTTTGGGGGCAACATATTGTCTATATTTCTATTGCATTGATAAATATACTCTCCATAAAGATATGCACCACTTAAAAATAAGTAAGTTTTTTACATCTATTTTTATGAGGTTTTATTATTGATATTTTCTAATAAATTTACTAAGTATTATTTTTATTTGATTTTGTGACTAATGCATAACAATGACTTGATGCGGAGATAAAGAAGAATGTTTAAGGAAAAACACTTACTAGATTAATTTGAAAATTGACATGCAATCTACATAAATAAAATTTCTAATCCAATAATTAGGTTCAAAAAATATTAATAAAACTATGATGTTTTTAGTGAGGTTCACCATGAAGAACATCATGAAAAACACTATGTATATGTATAATGAATTCAAACTTTGAAGCGGACAATATTATGAGAAATGTACGTACGGTCCCTCTTCTCTTTCTTATGGAAACTCCTTGAATATAAGCAGTGATTGTGGCATATAGTCATGTGTCTTAATAGTACCTCACAAGTGATTTTGTCGACCTTGTAAAGATGGGTGCGTATTAGGGGGGAAAGTGGTAAGGTCGTGCTTTGGGACAGCAATCTTTGTCAAAGGGGAAAGTTCTCAAAGGGGATGCATGCAGCTAAGAAATGAATGGGGGGAATGTCAATTTTGTGGCCAATGAGAGATTGTATGCGGCAACAAGATATATATCATCAAGATTATGGGGCCAAGCCAGTATATTTTGAAGTGGTGAAGGCTACTTCCATTGAATCGGATTCCAATTTTGGGACCCTACAAAACGCCCCGCTACCCATTGTTTTTAATTTTATTTAGCTATTTATAAATGGATATACATACCATGTGAAACAAACATATATATATGCCAACAGCATATACAAACTATGTGAAACATAGATATATGCCAACAACTGCATCTGGGGGAATTCTCTCTATTCTTTTTACAAATCTGATCTTTAAGAATATATATCAACTACGTTCAAGGTATGGCTACTATTTTGTTGATCTCTCTTTGCTTATTTTCTTAGAATTTCTTAACATCATATTTTCTTTTGTTGCATTTCTCTATTGTGACTAATTGGTGGTCACTGTAGCTCAAAAAAATTGTCGGTTGATTGCACTTATGATCAATTGTCGAATCTTGCCATGAGTAAAGTATTAACTTAATTTCTAATTTCTAATTTTTAACTATTATCGTTGTCAGAAAAAAAAAATTTCTTTTGTCATTCAATATGTCATCAAATAATTGCAAAATACGCAGACACACATACACATAAAAAAAATCTAGCTAGTAGCTATTAAACCTAGAAATATTACAATCCAAAACGTGTGGTAGCTAGTAATCTGAAAGCCGAGATGTGCCACAAACTGATCCAATCGACCGAAAACTGTGTCCCACACACCCACTGCCCTAGTTGGCTAGTACTCGAACATTTGGCTGTGTTGCTACTATTCAAAGGTTCAGAATGAATGGTTTTTGCCCCGGGGACCACCACAAAACTTTGGTTTGGTTTCATTCATATATATATATAGAGAGAGAGAGAGAGGTTTGGTACATGCAATTAGTTGTTTTGTCCCAAATTAACCATGAATGGGTCACTCGTTTTTTTGTTCAAATTAACACTTCTACCTTCCAACTCTTCATTTTCCACCTCTAAATTATTTTTTTTTTTTTTTTCAAGCAAAGGTAATTTCTTGAGATAGGGAAAAGGAATGACTAAGGATTGGGTTTGAACCCAAGTCATGGGTGCGCATCCGGGTCCATTCTCATGGCCATTTTGACCACACCACCTCGAGTGTGAGACACTGAGATGCTAATACGGAGACTATTTTTTTTCCCTAAACGAAAGAAGACTGATATATCTCGTAACAAAATGCAATATTGATTAATTTTAGACTCTTTTTTTTTTTAAATAATTATTATGAGATCGGATTGAATCATTATTAAAAAAAAAAAGAAGGTGAACCTTTATAGTGATGAAAGTCACTTTGCCAATTTTAATTTTAAACTCTATTTAATACAATTTTAATTTAAAATTTTTATTTTATATATATTCAATAATTATTACTATTTATAAATCAAGGTTTATTATAAAATTTTGAACTTATTAAATTTAATTAAAATATAATATTGAATAAATGATATGTCAAATCAAGAGTGCCAATATAGGATGCAGAGTGTACAGTTGTTTTCTTTTTTATTATTTTTATATTTTAAAAGAAAAATTAATGCACAAATAATTTGTTAATCTGGATGGAAGGAATTAAACTTATTTTAAAGTAAAATCTTATATTTGAATTTTATAAATGAAAAAATAGTAATTTGAAGAATTTTTTCGAATGAAATCCAATGCAATTAAATTTTAAATTAATTAAAATTTAATGTGGCTATTAAATATCAAAAAATTAATAAAAAAATTAATTCATTAGGCCAATCAGGGCCGAGTGCAATCTTGTGGAATGCATCTAGCATTCTCCAACACAAGTTGGATTAGCTTTGGATAAAACATCACTTTCACAACACAATAACCCCATTTACATATCATAGTGAAAAGACTTTCTGGTTTCAGGTAAATGGAGAAACTTCTTCTAACGGTATAAATAGCACTTCAAATACACAATATATCATACCTTACCTACCCAACAATATAAAATTTCTCCTTTCTGCTGGGTTCTTGTTAATGGGAAACGTCCTGTTAGAAACTCTCAACGTCCGGGTAGTCGGTTCCGGCGAGAAATTCTTGGTATTGGGTCACGGCGTCGGCACCGACCAGTCAGCCTGGCAGCGCATTGTCCCGTATTTCGCCCCGTATTATCGCATAATTCTCTTCGACCTCGTTTGTGCCGGAAGTGTCAATCCCGATTACTTCGATTTCAGAAAGTATTCCACTCTCGATGCTTTCGTCGATGACTTGCTCAACATCCTTGACGCCCTCGGTGTTGACCGCTGCGCCTTTGTGGGTCACTCCTTCTCTGCTATGGTCGGAATCCTCGCTTCCATCCGCCGCCCTGAACTCTTTACCAAACTCATCCTCATCGGCGCTTCCCCGAGGTAAATTTTACATGCTTTGTTTTTTTGTTCACCAGTTTCAGAGTTTGAATTTCGAATTGATGGATGAAACGGTGAGAAATCAGGTTTCTAAACGACGGTGATTATCATGGAGGATTCGAGGAAGGGGAAATCGATAAAGTTTTCAGCGCAATGGAAACGAATTACGAGGCGTGGGTGAACGGGTTCGCACCATTGGCGGTGGGGGCGGATGTGCCGACGGCGGTCCGGGAATTCAGCCGGACCCTATTCAACATGAGGCCGGACATAACGCTTTTCATTTCCAGGACAGTATTTAACAGCGATCTGAGAGGGGTACTGGGATTAGTGAAGGTACCCTGTTGCATAATTCAGACGTCGAAGGACGTCTCAGTCCCAACGTCGGTGGCCGAGTACTTACGGACCCATTTAGGAGGGCGGACGACGGTGGAGATTCTGAAGACGGAAGGCCACTTGCCGCATTTGAGTGCACCGGCGCTGCTGGGCCAGGTACTCCGGCGAGCTCTGTCCCGTTGATTTTAAGTGGGGCCCGCGGAAAATAATAAAGCTAGGAAAGGGGACACGTGGCGATTAATCTACGGAGAGTACGCTTGCGGACTTCGTTAGGAATTTAGGATTGCATGATATTTTCAACAATGTCCACGTGATGCTCACGTGATCTTTTTGTCCTCTTTTTCCCCTTAATTTTAGGTTGATTTTGCTTTAAGAAAAGTAAAAATTAGTACAGTGTTAATATTTTTAAATATTATGATATAATTTAATAAAAAGTTATGATATTTTAATTATTTAGATGTCTTAATTTTTCATAATTTTTTTTATTTTTAAATATAAATATTTTAGATGATACTTTTTTATAG